TGTATACAGTGTTAGTTTCCTTGTCTGCCTACAGGACAGAATAGGGCACCAGGTCTCATTATAGATGGCTGTGAGCCACCATGTGGTTGCTGGGAATTGAACTCAGGACTCTGGAAGAATAGTTAGTGTTCTTACCCTCTGAGCCATCTCTCTAGCTCCTTCCTAGTTCCCTTTTTCGTAAAAATAAATTTTTTTAATTTCAACACTCATACAGTCATGATTGTTAGTACGCGGTGAGTTAAAAATAATAAGTGAAAACCTTAAGTGCCAAAAGTTTTCAGGGACTCCAGGGACTGAGACTGGTTTTTGTCCTATTATGTTCTTAGAAATCTTCCCAAGTTTATAAAAGACTAGTAAGCTGCACTTCTCCCTGGGTGGTACCAAGTAATGAAAACTTAATCTCTTCCATTTTCTGAAGATTTAAGAGCCTTCCCAAACAGAAATCCCAGACAAGCCCCAACCTTGTTGGGAGTTTGATAACATATCTGTTCTCGTCTCCCATAGGCTGGGAACTTCCCATCTTCTCCATCTCATTGGTTTAAGATACACAGCCTTATCTAATGAATAATTTGGAGCTTGAGACTTCCCATTTTTTGTGATGATGGGCTCAGTCATATATGTGCCTGCATAGGACTTTCAGAGTTTTGACACAGCAGGTACCCACCCAGCTGACTATGGGAGGGACCTCCTGCTTGTCTGTAACTCTGGTGATCTTTAAGTGTGCCTCATATTGGAAGTACATCATAACAGACAGGTGTAGTGTGCATGTCCTTAAACCAACACTTGGGAGGCAGAATCTGTGAGTTTGAAACCAGCCTGGTGAATTCCAGGGCAGTCAGAGCTATATGGTGAGGCCCTGTCTCAAAAACAAACCAAAATGAAAAAGAAAAAAGAAAATGGACCATAGCCATCTATTACAAACCTATCTGGCCTTATTTGTTTTGAGTGCATTTTACTTGAATTTAAAACAATAGAATCTGAGTTTTGCATATTAGAAAGGAGCTGGAAGGTCTGGGGTGGATCTCAGTGGTAGACCACATGCACTGGTGTGAATGAAGCCTTGACTTCAGTCCTGTCTCGGGGCTACTCTTGCTGTGATAAACCACCATGGCCAAAAGCAGCTTGGAGAGGAGTTTATTTGGCTCACACACCGTGAATCACAGTCTGTTGATTGAAGCCAAGTCAGGAACTCAAACTGAGCAGAAACCTGGAGGTAGGAACTGATGCAGAGGCTATGGAATAGTGCTGCTCATTGAGTTGTTTATCCTGGGGTTTTGTTTTTGTTTTGTTGATTTTTCAAGACAGGGTTTCTCTGTGTAATAGCTGTGGCTTTCCTAGAACTCATTCTGTAGACCAGGGTGGCCTTTAACTCACAGAGATCCACCTGCCTCTGCCTCCCAGTTGCTGGAATTAAAAGCCTGCCTGTGCCACTACCTTCCAGCCATCACCCTGTTTTTTCTTAGAGAACACAGGACCATTAGCTCAAGGGTACTCCACACACAATGGTCTGCCCTGCCCCATATCAATTATTAATTAAGAAATTGCCCTACAGGTTTGCCTACAGTCAGGTATTATGGAGGCATTTTCTCACTTGAGGCTCTCTCCTCTCAGATAACTAGCTTGTGTCAGGTTGACATAGCCACCTCCCAAGCCCCAGCCCCACCCCCACCCCTGACAATCCCCAATGCCAGACCAATCAGTTCAATTTTACTGTGTTGCACTGAACTAGAGTCATGGTGACTCAATTTGACCTGGAAGAAGACTGCTCAGGAACTGAGGCAAACTGGTTATGGTCTTGCTTCTGGTTCTTGGGCTATTAGTACAGTGATTGGTTGGCACGATTTATTTAATCTGGGTAACAGGTATGAATTAAGATTCTTGTCTCTAATCATGAACTTGGGAGGAATTACTAAATGTTTCTTTGTCTGAGGAGACAGGCCCGGCTGTTGTCCTGTGTAGACTGCTGAGAGATTCAAGGATACACATGCAGAAGTCTTCCTGAAATGGAGCATTGTGCACTCATGATCTCATTACTCTCTTTTCTTCTTCAGAAATTTAAGATACGAATTGAAGATCCACCCCGCAGAAAGCACATGGTGTTCCTGGGTGGCGCAGTCCTGGCCGACATCATGAAGGACAAAGACAACTTCTGGATGACTCGACAAGAGTACCAAGAAAAGGGTGTGCGTGTGCTGGAGAAGCTCGGTGTTACAGTTCGATAAATGCCAGGCTTGTTCCCATCCTGCCTCTAATGCATTCTTTTTCTGGTTTTGTTTTGTTTTTTCTTTCTTTTTTTTTTTAATTTTTTTTCTTTATTGCCAGTCTTTGAACTCATTCAACTCCAGGACTGAAAGAGGCCTCTCTGTCCCCTTTGACTAGAAAGGTCAAGTTTATTCTTTGTCTTGGAGAAGCATTGTTAATGTGGATAAATCTGGTTGTTTAATGCAACCACTCCTCTACCAACATCACCCGCGGGCAAAGGGTCTCTGCTGCTTTCTTCCTTTCTAAGTAGGCATTTCACTCTTTCCTGTAGGCTTCATATTTTTCCTTTATTGCTTTAATGCTGCTAGTTTTAGTTTTAGCACTCTAGGTGGTGTGTCTTTATTAGCATAAGAGAAAACTTTCACATGAGCTTTTACATATTCTGGGTGGGGGTGGTAAGGGATGGGTGGGCAGCCCTGAGTCCTTCGGGGCATTTCTTCTGTAGTGTTAGTTTTCAGTGAGTGCCCTGAAGCCTGTCCTGCTAACGTCTTCACCTTGTGCGTGCCCTGAAGCCTGTCTTCTGGAATAGTAAGCTCAGAACTAAGGTGTTTGGGTAGGTTTTGTGTGGTGGAACAATTGGGTGGTCTTCCTGGTGTGGCTTTGAGGATTTCTGCTTCTGGGTATGAGATGAACCTCAGTTACAGCACTCTGACTTGGTAGGCTTCTTCTTTTGGTTTGCCTGGAACTGTTTCCATATGGTAGAAAGAGCAAGCTTAGTGTTTCGTTGCCATGCAGCTTAGGAATTAATTCCTTATCTCAACTGGGAGTTTATTTCCTAAACTGTCAGAGAGAAAGTAATATTTTAAACAAAATGCTTTTGCTGAGTCAAATTACAGTAGAACGTTCCTAAGGGCTGGTGTTTTCTAAATGCTGTTGTTTATTTTGTAAGCATTGATGATGCTTAGTACCATTCTTGAAAGTTGTACTTTTATGTGCCCATCAGTGCTTCTTGACTAAAACAGCTACACAGTACACACAGCTACTGGCAGTGGGTTATAATTGTTGTATTAACAGTATCAGTGGGACTTGTTGCCAGTTCGGTTTTGTTTTTTAACGAGACCTGGAACTAAAATTTTAGCAACAACAATAGAAAATTTACCAGGAGTCAACTATGTTTGTACTGAAAACTAATCATGATTGCTACTTCCCAGCCGTCTTTTGTTCTTGAGATTGTGGATATGTTTGCAGACCTGTCAGAAAATCCTGTTTATAAGTCCTGTTAGTATTGTTTGTTATCTCAAACATTATCAGATAGTACCTAGAAGTGAGTGGTTCTTTCTAACATTGAAAAATGAAATAATAAGATGTTGTATCACAATGAATACAAAAATCATGATTCTGGGAGAAATATTTTCCTTCATTTCAAAATATTTTTTGCTAATGATAAATTTGGAAGAATGACTTTTTTCCTTTTTTCTTTCTTTTTGGATGCTTAAAATCGGAATTTTTAGTGGATTTTTTTGAGATAACTTTAAAATTAGTTTATATAAAATCAGCAGCAAAAGGAAGTTAGTCTTAATTATGCAACTTCTGTGATATTAAGTATTTTTGCCTGTTTTACCTCAATTTGAACAAATAGGAGATGTCTGTGTGCATGCTGGACATGCTCAGTACACAACTACCTGCCAGTGCCGGCTGGTCGGTGTTGGGTGCATGACTCAGAGTCCTAAGCCTTCCTAAATCATGTTGTCAGATACCCTATCTTGGAAGTCCTGGGCCCATTCCAGGATACCTACTGTGTATAGGACTGGTACCAGTGACTGTTGAGTGCAGAAAAATGGTTAATTCTTGGCTTTGAGCATGTTTTAAATACAGGGGTAGAAAACAAGAAACAATGGGGTAGAATCCTAAACAAAACCTGAAAGAGCATTATCATTTGTACCTTGAATGTAGAATTTGTTTTTATTTCATAATTCTGCTAGCAAACATGACTGTTAAAAATGATGTATTTATATATGTAATAATTTAGAAATTCCATTTTATAGTTTTCCTATTCTAAGGTGAAATAATGAATTTAATAATCTGGGAGTTGGGACATTCTATTGGAGGTGTCAGGTTTGAGTCCTTCAAAAACTAAAAAAAAA